CGGGGGGGCGGCTCTCGGCTCGCTGCTGCGCCCTCGGCCCCGGCTCGCCGGCCCCAGCCCCGGCCCCTCGTCCGCCGCCGCCGCCGCGTCCTCCCCGCCGCCGCCGAAGCCCCCCCGGCCGGGCTGAGCGCGGGGCCACTGGAACGTACCATGTCCCTGGCGGGCGCGGGGGAGCGTGGCGGCGTGGGGCGGGGACACGAGGCGCCCCACCTCGGCCGCGCGCGGGGGGGGCCGCCCGCCGCGGGGCTTCGGGCCCGGGGACATGGGGCCGCCGCCGAGGAGCGCGCAGGGAGGGCGGGGGCGGCGGGAGGCCTCCCTCCTCCTCCCCCTCTTCGCCTCCCCTCCCCCGCGGCGGCGGCGGAGGCCGAGGCTCGCCCCGAGGGGCGGGGCTGGCGGAGCGGGGGGGGGAAGGGGGCGGGGCCGGGCACCAGCTCCCGGGGAAGGCGGGGCTGCCCGCGAGGAGGGAGCGAGGCGAGCCGGCGGGAGGGGGGCCGCCTGTCCGCCGCCTCCCTCGTGCAGACACCTGCGAGCACTCACCTGTGCGTGCGTGCTCAGCCGTGCCTCCGGAGAGACCCGCGCGTGCATGCATGGATGCCAGCTTGCATCCATGCATACGTGCATCCTGGGCACCTGCGTGCCTATTCGTATGCTGCATGCGTGAGCACTGGCTCTGGGGCCACGCGTGCACATTCACACGCGTGCACGTCTGCTTCTCGACGCGACGCGCCCGGGCGCAGACTTGCATGCCCAGGAGTACACCCGCATGTCCTCGTTATGAATCCGCATTCATTTGGATAATAATCTTGGTGTGACTATAATAAAAAAAAATTCGAATAGCGGACATGTAGCTAGCCTATAAGGTTGGCAGAACACCTCACGCACATTACGTCAAAGCCCAAATCTCAGTGCCCACCTGTGTACGGGTTTCTGCGGGAATAGACGAGAATCAGAAGGCCTCAGCCGTTAGCCACTCTGGGGCCTGCAAAGACTTAGATGAGTCAGAGAAGACGGAGCATGGAGGGCTCCTCCCCCTTTTGTGGCTGGACTTCGGGGAGATGGGCAGACAGGGAGTGCTTCTCTACCTCGTCAATTAACATATTTCACACCTTTAAAAGACCAAGGCTCTAATGAAGGTCAACTCCTCTGAATTGCAAAATCAATACCCCTGTTAGAGAGCCGGGATTACCATCCCCCTGCTAAAACGCAGTCGTGCAAAAGAAATAAACTTCCATCCCCTCGAGTAATAAACGTGCACCCCCCTCTCTCCGTATGCGGGCCCCCCCCCACCGCTGTTGTCTTGCCATGGGTGGGGAGAGGTTGTGAAAGGAATAGGGGACGGGTCAGGAGACCCGGACCCTTGTCCGGGACAGCCACTAATCAGCTGTGTCACTTTGCACAATTCATCTAATTTCCCTAGGTCTCGATTTCTAAACAATGAAGGGATTAGCTTAAAAAGGGTCTCTAAATTCTGACCTGCCACCCGTGGAGCACCCTTGGTCTCTCAGGATGGTTTTCCTATTTTTCTATCTGTTCTTTTGCTTCTCAAGGGATCAATCAACAAACATTTATTAAGCACCTACTATGTGCTGGGTACTGGGGATCGGTCTTCTCTGTGCATCAAACAGTCTGTGACCTTGTGTTTCTGTCGCAGTAGCTTTTGCCCACATGTGGATATGTCATGTGAACCCACGGAAATGCCTATGCTTGGGTATGGTCTGGGTCCGGGGAAACATCACAGGTTAAACTGATTGAGACAGGAAGAAGGTTGAAAACAAGAGTGAGGGTGGGGAGAATAAATTAAAAGTTACTGAAGCCTGGCAAAGAGGAACCAGTAGCCTACATAGCCATCTTCATAATGCATCCTGCAGATTAATGCCAACAAGGATCGCTCCTGCCTTGGCTTTCTGGGGGGGTGAGGGGAGGGAAGGGAATGGAAGGAAGAAAGGAGGTGGATAAGAGAACAGAAGAGACATCAAAAGAGGTGGGAGGAGGAAAATACATACTCAGTCTCCACCTTCAAGGAGTTTAATGTATTTGACAGACCAGGCGACAGGGGCTGAGCCTATCAGACCAGGTAATTACATGTAGTGGGTTTGTTAAGGTTCTGGGGAAAAGGACCATTCACCTTGAGAGCAGAGATGTTCCACTGTACTGGTGAGGCTGATAACACCTTCCGAAGATGAGACATAGGTTGGTTCCAGGGGAGCTACGCCAGAGATTCTATTAGGACTTGGGATGAGTAGAAAAGAAGGGTCAGAATTTTAGGGTCAAATACTCCCCCTCCCCTCCGCTCTCCTCCTATCACTGCAAAAATGAATAATTGAATTTAGAAGGAAGTGCAGATAAGCAGAACAATTTTGGAAATAATATGTAGAATTTATGTGCTTTGAAAAAAATCAAGCCATATGAAATGGAAATTCAGAATTTTATATAGAATCAGCTTATGTGTTCTGCTATATCTATGGAAATACTCTTTTTTGGTATTTAAATTCAGATCAAAGATTTTTTAAAACAAGGAATGAGTGATCAAACAAGTGCCAAGGACACACACATGTGTAGAACTGTGATTGATTGGGCAAATAGGAAGCAGGGGGAGAGAGGCTCCCCCAAAAATGTGCTTAAGCTCCCTAGCTAGCTACATTTCTCATAGTGGAAAGACCCTCTGACTGGCAGATGGAAAATCTGAATTATAGCCCAGATTTCAACACTGGGAAGCGTGTGACCTTGGGGAAATGATTTAACCTTCCTGAGTCTGTTTTTACAGCTATAAAATGGAGATAATTACACCACCCCTAATCTCTGTCACAAGGTGGTTGTGAAAGGGTCAAAAGAGAAAGTGCTTTGAAGCATTTGGAGGGAGGGAAAGTGTGGTTTTTGATGACTGCCATTAACTCATTTCCCTGCTCTTGGCCTCAGACGGCTCCCCCAACAGAAAAATTTCAGCTGGGGAAGAGATTGAAGGGGAGGGCAGGACGAACCAGACCTCCAAGGTCCCTTCCAGCTTTGTGATTTATCATAAGGATCATGAATTTTACAGGTCGAAGGGACCTTAGAGGTCATCTGGTTCAACCTCTTCATTTTACAAATCAGGAAACCGAGGACCATGGCGACTTGCCCAAGGACACACAGGTAACAATATTTCTTACTCTCATGTTCATATACTCTGCCCGGCACCTGGCACCATGCCAGGCACTCTGGGGGCTCAACAGATATTTGTTGACTGTTTCATCAACAACCAGGTGTGTAGGTGATGGAGAGGGCAGCTCCCAGGGCCGTTGCAGGGCTTATTAAGAGCCTGGGGTGCCCTCTACCGTCCTCGAGATAATCCTTGAGCCTACAGAGTCAGAGGTTGGTACCTTGAGCTATTCACTTCCTCAGGGAGCCCCAGAATCAACCCCCCAACCCAGCCATTTGCAGGCTCTCCTGCTACCTGCCACAAAGGGATAGACTCCCCCCTGCTCCTCTTCAAAGACACCCCTTAAGTCACACAGTCTCAGCTCCCTCATTTGCCAGGCATACTTTGGGACAAGAGGCAAGAGACACAGAGCTGCTGTAGAGTAGGACAGTCAGATATAATTACAGCTGTAAGGGCTGGCCTTCAAGGGGGTCTAATTTAACCCACTTCACTCCACACAGCATATCAGTTAGGGGTCAGAATGGCTATGAGTGCTGGACTTGGGGTCAGGAAGACCCAAGTTCGAATTCTACTTTCGATACTAGCTACGTGACATTGGGCAAGTCACTTAACCCCTGGGTGCCTCGGTTTCTCCCAGTGTATAATAGCTGCTAGTTCCCAGGGTGGTTGTTAAGAGTCAGATGAGAGCACTGTGTAAATGCTAGATGTGATGATAGTAAGCCTTATGGATTCTGCATCCATTGCATCTTTCAAACCCATTTCCTTCCCACTCACATCACGCTAGTTCAGGCCCTCTTGCCGTGGCCTCTTCGCCGGTTTTCCTGCTTCCCGTCTCTCCCCTTCTCCCACTCATCCCTCCACAAAGCTGCCAAAATGATTTTTCCTGAAGTTCAGGGCTTTGC